TTGAGTTGAACACTTCCTTTCTCTCACTTTCATCTACTGAAACCACATAAGGTGAGTTCATACCCATACATTTACATGTTTTTCTTAAGTTTTAAGGAGGGAATACAAGTAAAATCATCAAGAACACAATTAAACTTTTTCTAACAGATTGCATCAGAAAAGATGGACGTTAATCACGGACTGTTTTGGTCAACTTAAATATTTTAGTTTTCAAAGCTGTTTCAGGTGCAAGTAGTTCAAACTCTTAGCTTTAAAATGACTACTTGCACATCTCCAAATGATTTTTCTACAATTAATGGTGATTTTTACAAAACTGCCTGTCATTTCAGAGGCAAACCCGGACCAGTCTGTGATTATGAACATTTTCACCTCTGTTATAGATCACTAAAAATCATGATAAAATTTACGAACAAACTAGACTCATATTCCAAACTCTCAAAATTTGCGGATTTGGATTTAGAGCTGTGATGATTTTTCTATAAATTTTCTAAGAACGGTAACAGAAACTGTTTTAACGAAAAGTTGCTGTTAATTTCATTTCACCTTGTAACATGTTGAGCAAGGTGTATATCTTTATGTGACTATATGTTACTGCAATATATGACATTTTATCTTAATATTTAGACACACATCAGTTTACAACTGGATTTGGTCATATAAATATAAAGAATAACAAGTGATTATAATCAAAGTACAATCGATACATTCAAACATAAAATAAAACTATTTTGAATATAGTTTGCATACATTACCACGTACTACCCTTGGTTGATAAACTATAATAGGTATAGTTTATGATACATTACATAACACATACATTTAAAAAGGGTACATTTATACAAAGGATATTTTCATTAAGCAAGGTACGACCATACGGTACCAAGTTTTCATAACACGTAATTCCGTTAATGACTTTGTGAGACATTTACTTCAAATTACCATTAAGTCCTGTATTGTAACCAGAGTCTCCTTAAGGGAGAGCGTGATACTTGTGTATAGATCTATATTGGGTTTGACAAACCCACACCTAAACTGCATGCAACAGTTAGACCGATATGTCTGGGGTGACAAATGTCATAACATTTCCGACGCCTGAAGAACGTCGTTTTAGGCAACCTTGGTCATAGTATGGTTATAATAAACTCACATAAAGTATTAACAAACATTGGAATTTACGGGGACTTCATTAAAATTTAACGAGTTTATGTCGATTTAAACTTGCATTGTTTTACTATAAATATGATAAATTACTTGTACATTTCGGTCTTTGGGTTTTAAGACTACATTTACACATTAAGGAAAATATTGGATTTTTCTAACACAAATACTACTTTTACAAACGAAAAGCTTATGAACTCACCAACCTTTGTGTTGACACTTTTTCAAACAACTTGTATTTTCAGGAAATCATTAAACAGGTAATCAAGTGCTTTTGAGGATGGGACGCTAAGGCGTCTACTATTTCATATTTTATCAACATATTGTAATTGATTCGTAAACATGTAATTCATACAATGATGTAATTTTTTTTAATTATATATATGTTGGTTGTGTTTGCTTGAATTACTATTACAATTGCTGTTATGATACTATACATGAAGTCCTCCACCCCCGGACGTTTCCGCCATCCTTGGTTTGGGGGTGTGACAAGTTCCTAGATGCATGGTGGATAAATTGCATACTTATTTGGTGTACAAATATGAGGTGTCACCCCCTTAATCCACCAATCTTAATCTTTTTCTTTTTTTTTTTTTTTTTACAAAAACCAAGAATTAGGGTAAGAAGAGGAAATAAGAGGTGTGTTGGGCTAGAATTTGAATACTCTTGAAATTACAAGGCCCAAATGTGGAAAGTCTCGGCCCATTGGGCCCTTATAAGAGTTTACGGCCCATTAAGGTTCAAGGAACCATTCACGGCCCATTAAGGCCCATGATGACAAAGTGAGACATTTTAGGTCCAATAAGGAAGTATTGGTCCAAATAAGGGTTTTGGGTTGAGAATTCTTGGGCTAAGGCCCAAAGATGATTGGATTTGGCTTATTGGATCGAGTTTTGGGTTTATACAAAGAAGATTATATTGTTCAGGAATTTACCTCTTAACCTAATTTTTCCAGTTGTGACAACTAAGCATAGCATCATCCTAAATACCAGGATACGGATCTAACAGATCACTACATCATACAATCATGTGACAAACCAGGATAACAATCCAAGGGGTCGACCTTGGTGCCTTCGACCCGTAAGTACAATGAGGAAAACTCACCTCTCGATTTGATCCATAGCTGATGAGGTTCGACTCCGAACCTCAACTCTTTAACCGATACCTGTTTCTACCGAGTAACAAATTCCATCAAAATACCCAAATACCCTCAAGGTCCAACTTAGTCAAAGTCAAAGTCAACAACCCATGTTGACCAAACACAATGTGTTCTTCCATGATTAAGATAATCGGGAAAACCCCAGCCAACACGTTGTCTTGGCTTGCAAACACGTCGTGTTTGCCCGAGATTCGGCAACTTAATACAATAAGCTGTTTTCTCCGATACCAAGAGCTCCAAAGCTCCGATCTAGCCTCTCATGTGGTCCAGAGGGATAAAGTTTCCAACTTTATCCATTGGGACTACCTAAAAAGGTTCAAAACTCAATCTAGAAGCTTAATAATGCAAGGGCTTAACCAATAAGCACTTAATCCATAAAGACATAGTCCCAAAACATAGATCTGACTTCCTTGAGCTGGAAAACTACGTAAAGTTGGCAACTTTACGTTCATGCATGTCTAAATGAAGCTCTTAAGCTTAAAAAGGACTTTATAATTGACTTAATGCATGCATGACACCAAAACTCTCATAAAGCTTGCACCTTTATGCTCAAGGACACCAAAATAACTCAGATCTGAAAGAACAAGCCCTAAAATGACCTAACTCATCCATTAACCCAAAAAGGGACCAAAAACACAACAAACTAACTATGAAGAGATCTAAACATATACAAGACAAGATGTAAACTTGATACCTCAGAAAGCTTCCCCACAAGATGACGATTTTGGATCCAAAGCCTTTTCCCTAAGCAAAGCAACTTCAAGATCTCCTATTCCTTCACAAAGACCATAAATGAGCACCAAGAACTTCTTACTAGCCCAAGAACACCACCAAGAGACTTAAAGATCGATTTTAGGGTTTTAGTGGCCAAGGAGGTTGGTAAGGAGGTCAGCCATGAGGACTTAAGACATTTATATAGGGTGCAACAGCCTAAAAATTAGGGTTTTCTACACCAGCCGCCAACACGCCGTGTTATGGCACAAACACGCCGTGTTGACCTTAATGAAAGTCGTGTTTTTTCTTATCTAGACACGCCGTGTTTGTGCCTCCAACACGCCGTGTCGAATCCTCAGAAGGTGATTATTTGCAAAGTTGCTCCTCAAATTTATGGGTGTTACACAAGCACTACAAAGTGTCATGTACCTAATAAACTTTGCTGCAAACTGGGGTCAGTGTCCAAGAAAGAAAAACATACTCATGATGATTTGCTACAAAATAATTTGGAGCCTATGGAAGTATAGAAACCATCAAATATTCAAATGAGTGTTTATTAGCCCTTTTAATGGTGATGAGCATATAAAATCCTTGATATATTTATGGATCAAATGTAGGGGGAATGGTGGTTTTTGTACATGGAATGAGTGGTCATCCTTTCCATTTCACCTCGCTTAGCATTTTATTTTTCATTAGCTGAATTTTTTCCTTTACCTTGTTTTTGCTATTTGTATGCTTTACTTTCCTTCGTCCCCTGCATTTTATTTTTCATTAGCTGAACTTTTTCCATTACCTTGTTTTTGCTATTTATATGCTTTACTTTCCTTGGTCCCCCTTTAGTTACTTACTGGTTAGGGGTTCATTCTAATAAAATTGTGTCGTTTCTAAATAAAATAAAAAAAAACAAAAGGCTTAAAAATCTCAAAACAAATATTTTAAAAAATAGTAAAAATTAAATAAAACATCAAGTTTTTGAAGAATATAAAATTTTGAAACTACACCTATTTAGTAAATATTTTTGAAACTACACCTATTTGGTAAAATAAATTTTTTAAAAACAGTCATTTGGTTAATAACTCTTTAACAATAAACGATTTAGTGCAAATTAGGGACAATATGTGTACCCAAAATTTATATAAAAACTTATTAGGAATAAAATGTGTACAAACCGAAAACAATGTTACCCTAGAGTAACATGGAGTAACAAGTAAAAAACACATATACACATATAACCGGGTTAACCTAGAGTAACATGTCATAATGATAAGGTGTGTACAAAAATAGAAACAATAAGGACGTAACAAAAAAACAAGATGAACGAAATATGTACAAAACGATAACTAGATTACCATTTTAGGTCATTATCCCATAAAAGTTTTAGTGATAATTGAGCGAGAAACTCGATGACTATCACGATAAATGACCAAATTAATCTGCGTAACATTAAAAATTCGAAGAAATATCCGTAATGAATTCATCATTAAAATCTTATCTAAAAATTAAGTGATTGCTATGACATAATACTAGACAATCTCGAAAATTTTCCCACTTGATTTAGTCAAACGAAATCATGCATCTTAAAAATGTTTAATATTTAAACCTTCATATTTAAAACTAATTTATATTTAAACATTCATATTTAATTTTTCTTAAAAATATTTAATGTTTAGATCTTTATATTAAAAAATAATTTATATTTACATATTCATATTTTTTGTGGAGTAAACGGGTGAATTCGATTCCCTTAAACTATTTCTTGTGGTGATACATGTGAGAAATTTTTCCTTAAAAATCTCTATGGAGATTGAGTTTGCCTTGTAAAAGAGCTCGAACCCGGAGTATTCAGAAATCTCTATGGGGCTGAGTTTGTCTTGTAAAAGAGCTCGAACTCGGAGTACTCGTTGAAATATTGCGAGTAAGTTCCACTTAATACTTTTGCGGGTTAAAAAAAAAAAAAACCGGCTATATAAAATGATATTTCGCAGCCGAAGCCCGCAGGCGATGCAGTTCCGCAGTTCGGAAGTGTACCTTGTTCGCCAAGGTGATATCCTGTTCAGACCTCAGCTCACAGATTTGCTAGAATCTAGATGCGCTCGACCTCCTGTCTGATATTCACATTATCTTCTATACAATTGCACCCACGCCTATTTTCTCATTGAATGGTCGCCATCTACGATCTTTTTTGCTAAGATTTCGTCTGATTGTAGTTTCATTCTAGGGTTTTTCTTCCTCGCGTTCTGTCAGAAGAGTTACTGGGTTTAATTCTACTATATCATCGGAGCTGGGCGTGAAGGATGAACGGGATAAGTTTCGGCGTAGAGGTGTCGAAGCCGGAGGAGACGAGTGTGAAAGAGGATTGGTTGACAATTTTGAAGGGATTAGAACGTGAAGAAATCGAGGAGGTGTTGTCTCATACTTTTTGCGATCGTTGCAAGGTTAATTTGCATGCCCGAGTGCAATCCGTTGCTAACCGTAAGTTTCGAATTCTTCTTTGTCGAATTTCGCTTTAAAGAATTACAATTAAGTTGTTGTTGAATGCGTATTTGTACGTGGATTAATCATTCGATTTATTTAACTTTGATTGAAGAAAGCTTCAATGTCTATTGGTTCGTTACAATCTGCAATTAGGGTTCCAGAGATTTCCGTTTACCCCGAGCCCCATAAAAACAACCTAATTTATGTCAATATCAACATATTTACTTCAAATCTAATATGGGTATTTCAAATACAATGCTCTTATGTTATATTAGCAGCAAATTTATGGTCGAAATCTTATCATCATGTTCTTTCTTGGTATATATCTAGTTGCTTTACTGTGCAACTATAGTAGCATTATTTGAATTATACTTATTGCTTTCCAAATCCAAAACCTTAATCAATCTTGTTACGCTTTTGTGACAAAAAAGCTCATACCTTTTTTTATCATTTTATACATAAATGTAACTATCTGTTCTTGTTCACATAGCTTTTATCCATCCAAAAGTTGAAACACAATCTAAATTCCCACTTTATTTTGACAGGAAAACGCACAAAAAAACTATCAATATCAAGTCCAGATTCCACCATCTTAAATCCCGATAAATATGCAGAATCTTACACCACAAGTATTCAAGAATCTTCAATCAAGAGTGATTCATATAAAACTCCAGAAAACATTCACACAAGAAACCAGAAACGCTATTCTAACAAGTTCTCCCCCGCATCAGTGAACAACAAACACCTGTCTTCATCAACACAATCAAAATCTAATAAATCATTGGATGATGGAATACATGGAGTCTCATCTATGGAAGATGACTTACAGTCTGATGAGCAGAAAGAAATGGCGAGGTTTAGAAATATTGGAAGGAAGATCAACTTTGTACACTTTGAGAGGGTTTATGGGAAGAACGTGAATGTTCTTCAAGGCCTTGAACTCCACACTCAAGTCTTTAATCTTGAGGAGCAAAAAAAGATTGTTGAATCTGTTTATGAGTTTCAGCGTTTGGGCCAAAAGGGTCGACTTAGAGGTTCATATATATTATTTTTTTTTTCTTTCATAAATTTTATATTTAAAAAGCTAAATATATATAAAATTGGATGTAATATTTTCAGCACGAACATATACCGAACCTACAAAGTGGATGCGAGGCAAAGGGCGCATTACAATTCAATTTGGTTGTTGCTATAATTATGCAGTGGTATGTAATTGTAAATATTTTCTTATTTTCTACATACGTATGTAGTTTAGTGTTGTTATCGAGTATTGGTTATATTTTACAGGATAAAAATGGAAACCCACCGGGCATAATTAGAGAAGAAGAAGTGGACCCTCTACCTCCAGTATTCAAACAAATGATAAAGAGAATGGTTAGGTGGCATGTTCTCCCTCCAACATGTATCCCCAATAGTTGCATTGTGAATATATACGAAGAAGGCGATTGCATTCCTCCACATATTGATCACCATGACTTTGTTAGACCATTTTGCACCACATCATTCTTAACCGAATGCAACATATTATTCAGTTCAAGCCTCAAGATCGCGGGTCCCGGAGAATTCACGGGGCCCGTTTCCATACCCTTACCTGTCGGGTACAAATACAATAACTGAATAACATCATAACATACCTTTTTTCTTTATTATTATATTAAAAAACAACGATGTGATTTTTAAACTTTTTCTTAATCCAGATCCGTGCTGATATTGAATGGTAACGGTGCTGACGTGGCGAAACATTGCGTCCCTGCTGTTCCCGCCAAAAGGTATATAGTCGCAGCAGTGTGGGAGTTTTGGGTTCCAATGTTGATTGAACTCCATTCATAACCGAATTTGTATTTTGATTTTTGATTTATTTTTTTGTTTGATTGATTGATTGCAGGATTTCGATTACTTTTAGGAAGATGGATGAGAGTAAGATTCCATATGGATATGTAGCGAATCCCGAGCTACATGGTGTTCGGCCTCTTTCTCTTTCTCTGAAGGCATCACCATCACCATCACCATCAGCATCAGTTTTATCACAAACAGAAGAAACATCTCCGCCTTCTCCACCTCCTCGTGTTGTTTCAAAGCCCAAGGCTCCGGCTTTTGTTGGTGGAGAAAATGATTTCCCACCTTTAGGACTAGCTCTACAAAGGTGTTCTAACAAGAATGTTTCTAAGGCTTGAGGTTTTTATTTTTTTATTTTTTAGGTAGTGTCTGTTTAAGCTTATTATTTATTGTGTTGTGTTTGTTACAATAATACTTGAATAGGGGAGGGAGGCCAACTTATTTTTTCTATGTTCGATAGTATAGACTAATGGAATAATCAGGGTTATTGTGGGTGTTTACTTTGACTCGGTTTACTTAATTACTTATGAATATGCATGTTCTGACCATATTTTTATCCACACCAACTACTTGATCAATTAACAAAAACAAATTAATAAATTCTTTACTAGCTGGTTTGTTTTGATTTAGACCCAAAATGTTATATACAGAATATACAATACAGTCTGGACTCTGGAGAGAGTTTTGATTTACATTTTTTCGTGACAAAATTACTTTTTTGGTCCCTGTAATTTGCCAGAAATGGTATGTTGAGCACAACTATGGAAATCTTTATGTATTTTTCCTTGTGGTTTTAGTTTCTCGCAAAGTTGGTTCTCGTGATACATTTTGTTACAAAAGTGATATGAAAATGCTAATTTACCCAATTTTTTTGAATTATAGAATAATCTCTTATTAATTATAAAAAAACCTAACTCTAACCCTAAACCCACCACCTTCCTCTCTTTATAATACCTACCTCCTCTTTCTTTTTAAAGAACAACCAACCATAGCCACCACCTTTAACCTCCACAGCCGGTGTCGCCTTCAACCACATCGATTTCTTTCCAGCCAACTCAATACTGCCTTTTGCTACATTCACAATCTCCATCTATGCCACAAAAAATGTTAGAACCACTTTTCCGTAACATCGACCTCTTTCCACCTCCATCGCCGCCTTCATATGCATCAGAACCATAGCGGGAGCCCTAGCTTGCACCTATGTCGACTTCGCTGAAGTAATAAATCACATATTACCTACATTCTATCACATATAACTAAACACATATGTATAAATTTCCTAACACATATTGTTGGTACCAACTCTACACCAACAACTGATTCCCCCGAAGGGTCTGTCTCAGACACTGCCAAACTGAGACCGATCACTTCTCCCGAAGGGTCTGTCATGCCCATCCAAACTGGGACTGATCACTTCCCCTGAAGGGTTTGTCGTGATCTTGAATCCAACTAGATTTCCCCGAGGGGTTGGTCTCTAGCTGACATAAACATAACACATAATCTATATAATAATTCATAAGTAAGTTCATGAGAACTCACCTGAAGCTAATAGTTGAATCCACACGCAAGTTCACGAAGGAACCAACTAGTACTATCCACCTGATAACAAGTTGTCTGAGCAACACTACTGACGTGAACTAGATGGACTTCTCCCTTTCTGAACACCTACATCCCATACCAACAACTCTTCTTAGATCGTATTTGACAATACATATTTCCTACTTTATTTATACTTTTACTTTCAACAACATTCTTGTACTTTCGTGTTGTACACTTTTTCTGATTATGTAAACATTAATTCTTTACTTTATATGTTCTTAATCTCAGTTACTTATACTCTTTGTTTGCTTTTATTAAGTATATTCCACTCGTATCTTATCTTATTATTTAGTTGTATTACTTTTCTTTCAAATTCATCATTAAACACTATTGTTTACATATTAAGGTTCAAATGACCATTTTATGTTTCGTACTCATACATTTTCGCTTTGTTACATATTTTCACCCCTTTAACTTAATTATTTAATCATGTGCTTACTCCGTTAAGTCTCAAGTACTCTTTTACATATTTTTACACATAATGTATCCACTTACCACATCTTCAGCATCTTAGTGATCATTCCCATGATTTTTTAATATTTGAACACTTGTATATATTATTAATACGCAATTAGGTTGATATTATGTCACTTAACACCTTTATTACATTTACATACCTTAAGCTCCTTTTTAACATCTCTATACCATTTTATACACACATGTATTAATAATGGTCATTAGTTTAACATACTTCACACCCATATGCACTTATACTTATACACACATATCCATTAACTTGCAACACACACTTTTATACATCTTTTTTTACCTATATCAGGGTATGAATAATTTAACACATATTCTTAGATTTGCACACACACCAAGCACACACATAACTCTAAATGGGGTTTACTTTTTGTTTTAAACACTCACCCCAAACTAAATTTGTAATACATGTTATGTGTTATGTTTTTAACGTTAAGATTTAGTTCAAAAATCATATTTCATGGGCTAAAAACATTCGAAATTGTAGTTCTTCGGTTTGAGGGTTTTTAGGACAAAATCAAGTTAAAGTAGGTTGTTAAACTTGCTCTAGACCCCACACATGATCAGAGGTGTTAAAGGCATCAAGCACCAACCCTAGCAACAGAAAAAGAAGGTTTGGAACATGTCCTAAAAGCCTTCAAAAGTCCCGAGAATGTCTTACAAAAAAATCCGTAAAACATGTGAATAAAGGACTTTGAGAGCATTTACAAATGATGCTCTTGGTTCTAGCTGTACAAGCTTGTCCCTAAGTGTTGATTCCTGAATGAAATGAATTGCAAAGATGGAAGAACAAATTGTTCATTGAATTGATTATTGAAACTATTACAACCCTGAACTATTTATACAAAGACTAATCTCCAAACTAATCTAACTAATTAACAAACAGACTAACTAATTAGCTTAACTAACAAATCTGACATACCAAAGAGCTTGTAACCCAGCGGTATCCGGTGTTGCCCTCCCTCTTTGAGGTTGAGGGTTAAAGTCCGGCAGTGGACATAGATAGATTTTAGGAGTAGTTTATGAATAGAGTATATATTTACCGTTTTAAAAAAAAACTAATCTGACGTGGCATAATTAAATAATAACGCTAAGGTGTTGTTTGTTTTTTTAAGACAAAATGTATGCAGTCTGCGGACCACATCTGTGACCTCTGCAGTAGAAGAGGTGGACCAAACGTCTTCAGTTTGAAAAAAGAAGACTGTTTGTTTTTTTAACATCTGTGGGCTACTAAAATAAACTTAAATCTAAATAAACTGATTTTTTAAACTTCAAAGTGATTTTTTAATATTTTTATGACTTTGTTATAAATAATTAACAAATCTAGATCAACTTTTATGTATTATTGTATAAAAAATAAAAATAAAAATTGTATGAATTAACGTATATATTTAATAAACCGATAACTTTGGTTGCAAAGTTATAACTAAACATTATAATTAGGGATCAAAGAATTTGATACATAAATGGATGGAATAAACTTCGTTTTTTTCAATTAAATCCATTAAAAACGTACCATAAATATTTTCTCGAGAAATTGACAATACTATATTAAATAATGTTTTACAAAATTTGGCAAAAAAATATAAGAATATATTATGATTTTTTGTTCGTATTTATATAAACAACTTCAACGATTATTATTGTAATAAATCTTTATTTACAATTTTGTCAAAAATATCATGTTTGTATCGTCGAACGTTTTATTTTTTGTTTTGTATTTTTTTTTCAAATTGTTTATCATTAATAAAGTTGGAAAAATATAAATTAAAATAAAACTTAAAAAAATTAAGATATATATTTTTTTAGGCTAGAAGATGTCTGAAGATGTTAGAAGACTCTACTCCACATCTGCGCCAAGAAGAGGGCGTGCATACATTTTTTGGTCAGCAGTCTTCAAAAAAACAAACAGTCTGCGAAGGTTAATGTCTGCGCGTGGTCTGCACGGCGCAGACAGAAGAGGCCACACAGATCTGCAGACAAAAAACAAACACCACCTAAGTGTTAAAGGGTAATCTCACGTGGCATAAATAATAACACTAAGTGTTAAAAGGGACAAGTGGCATAAATAATAACACTAAGTGTTAAAAGGGACAAAGAAACAACCTTAACAGGAGAAATCAAGTTCTAAAACTCCTTCCCTTGGCTGGAAACCGAACCAACACAAAAATCCTGCTAGAACCCGATTTATGAAGGTCTATGTGCATTTTTGAGGTGGTTTTTCTTAGTTTTAAGCTTCAAAACGTGACCATAAGTATAAAGAAGTTATGCACCAGCTTAAACGAGAAGGAATATGATCTAGAGATTGTTAAACTCGACAAAAACACTTTAGAATAAGAGAATCTCGCAACTTCGCGTTTTCCGGTGGTTTGTAGGTTGCCGAAGGCAGCTCCGGCTGCCACAACGACGAGAAAGGATCAGAGGTGACACTAAGGAGTGAACAAGACACGTCCCTGGCTTGGAAGTGGTCTAAAACGAGTTCTACAGCCGCCTCTTCCTTACAAAACCCTAATCCGACAACCTCAGTTTCTCTCATAATATATTCCGATTAGGAATGAAAGGGAGTTTCAAAATGGTTTTTAACGGTCAAGGAGTCGAGTATTTAGGGCTAGGATCAGGGATCTTTCGTAGGTAATCGTTTTTCAGGCTCCAAAAATGGAAAAGAGACAAGCTTTCTTCCAGCTTCTCGCTGCCTGCTGTTTGGAGACGAAGGAGACAAGGTCTTTTCCGAAAAGGCAGTTTTGGACCCTGTAGTTCGGTCAAGTGGCAACAAACACCCAATCTAGATTTCTCTTAACAAATGAAGTTTCTAAAAATTACAATTTGCACCCTGGACATATATATTCAATTTAATATTATTATTATTATTATTATTATTATTATTATTATTATTATTATTATTATTATTATTATTATTCATATTATTATTATCAAAATATTTAATTTCTTCATATTTAATTTCTTCTTTTTATTATTTACCTTTTAATTTATTAATCCTCAGAATAATTTTACATTTATTCACTCTTTTATTTATATAATTATTTGGTATTAGTTATCAACACTATTTTAGAATTCATAAACGGAAACGAACGTTACATGACTACATGCTTTTCTGTTGGTGGTGGGATTTATCTCATAAATCTGGCGCCAACGCCTTCACCTCCTCTTTATCTCTCCAAAACCCTTGAGGAACACACACTCACACATATGAAATTTGAAATCAACTTTCAGATTACAGATGGGAAATCTAAAATTGATTTTCAGATTCACACCCTAAAAATGAAAACCCTTAGAGATTTTTGAGGTGTATGCATGTTCTTAAGTATGTGTGTGTGAGTGTGTTCTTGATTACGTGTGTGTATATGTGTGTTGAATAACAAACCCAAAAATCTAGTGTGCATGTGTTTTGAAA